TCGGGATCCAGCGGGATCGGTTCGGGATCCATCGGGATCTGGGATCCATCGGGATCGGTTCGGGATCCAGCGGGATCGGTTTGGGATCCAGCGGGATCTGGGATCGCTTCGGGATCCGTTTGGGGCCGGGGTTTCTCTCCCGGGACAGGGAGGATCCGCGGGATCCCAGCCCAGAATTCCCACAGAACATTCCGGAAGGACCCGGGACCTTCCCAGCGAAACCCGGAACATTCCAGAGGGACCCGGAACATTCCAGAGGGACCCGGAACATTCCAGAACTTTCCCAAAGGGGACCAAGGGAATCCAGGGGGGGTCCGGAACCTTCCTGAGGGATCCGGGGCGATCCAGGGAATTCCAGAAGCTTCCAGAGGGATCCAGAACATTCCAAAGAGATTCCAGAGGCTCCCAGCGGATCCTGAAACTTCCAGAGGGATCCAGAACTTTTCCAAGGGATTCCAGAACATTCCAGAGGGATCCGGAACCTTCCCAGGGATTCCCGGATTTTTCCCGGAACGTTCCGCCGGTGCTTCCAAAGGGGATCCAGAACCTCCCGGGGAATTCCAGAACTTTCCGGAGCGATCCCAAAACTTTCCAGGTGCTTCCAGAGGGGATCCGGAACTTCAGTGGAATTCCAGAACCTTCCAGGGAATTCCAGAACCTTCCAGGGAATTCCAGGACTTTCCAGGGAATTCCAGGACTTTCCAGGGAATTCCAGAACCTTCCAGGGAGTTCCAGGACTTTCCAGGGAATTCCAGAACCTTCCAGGGAATTCCAGGACTTTCCAGGGAATTCCAGGACTTTCCAGGGAATTCCAGGACTTTCCCTGGGATTCCGGAGGCTTCCAGGCCCCTCCCAAGGCAATAAGAGCCCCTCCCCCTCCCGGGGGGGGCGGAGCTCCACGCTCATTAATAATAATGAATAATTCATGAGGAACAACCAATAATAATTAAGGAGCTTCCAGGCACTTTCATCCCCCCCAAAAATTCCCAAAAAATTCCCAAAAATTCCCTAAATTATTTCCTGGAGCGGCTCAGGGTTTAAAACCCCCTCCCCCCATTCCCGGAATTCCCCGAATTCCGTTGTTTTTAAAACACTCTATTTCTATAAACGGCACCGCTTCCATCCCAAATCCCGGAAAAATTTTTTTCCCAGGATTTTGTTTTTTTTTATTTTTGACGTTTTCGGGACGAGGAAAAAAAAAAAAAAATTCCCCAAAAAAAAAATTCCCACCCAAAAAATTTTGGGATTTTTTTGTTTTTGTTTTTTCCCCCCTTTCCCGTTTCCCTCCTTTTTTGTCTTATTTAATCCCCTCCCCCTTCCCATTCCCGGTTTTTTGGTGGATAGGAATAAAAATTCCCGGAAAATTTTGTTGTTCTGAGTTTGGGTTTTGGGGGGAAAAACGGGAATTTGAGTTTTCCTGGAATTTTCTGGCGTTTCCCTGAAATTTGGGGATTTTTCCCAATAAATTTTGGGGGATTTTTCTTTCGGTTTTCCGGAATTTTCCTTAAATTTTGAGGGATTTTCCCTGGAAATTTTGGGGTTTTCCCGTGAATTTTGAGGGATTTTCCCTCCAGGCGTTTCCAGTTTATTTTGAGGAATTTTTCTGTTCATTTTGGGGGAATTTTCCCAAAATTTGGGTTTTTTTGTTTCCCTTTGGGGAAGGATCCCGTGAAATTCTCGGGGGGTTTGGGAAAATTTCCCTGGAATTTTTGGGGATCCCAGAGGGGTTTGGGGGGGGATTTGGGGTCACTTTGGGGTCACTTTGGGGGATTTGGGGTCACTTTGGGGGATTTGGGGTCACTTTGGGGGGTTTGGGGGGATTTGGGGGGGTTTGGGGT